CGGGCTTGGCCGCCGGCCCCTGGCGCCCGAAGAGGGGAATCGCCGCTGGCAAAGAGACACTCAGGACTGCCGGCAGTAAATCCAGTTTATTTGTGTTCACAGAACATACCGGGCGACCCCACGGCCGCCCCCCGACAGCCCCCCACCCCGTAGCCACCCCTTGGGGGCAACTTAAAGGAGGTCGAAGGCCGAGGCCCTTACTGCCAATGGTCCGCCGAAGCCGCTCAGAGCAGACTCGGGGTGGGATGCTGGGGGGCGGAGTGTCACCCTCCAAGCCTGCGGCCCAGCACCATGGCGACCNCCATGGCGACCCCCGAGCCGGGGCGCCCGACCCGGCCGCGTCCTCCACTCCCCCACCGGGCGCGCTCGGACCTGCGTGTGCGGCAGCGGGCGCGTCTCGCACCCTCGCATAAGTTAAATAAATACGACGTACGCCCCTCTATCACCTAGGGGACATACATAAATACGCATAAATATTAATTAGGAGCAATGAGACATAAATTAAGGCCGCCCTCCTTCCCCGCCCGGCCCGGCGTGTCCCACCGGTGCGGCCGGCGGCTGCCTGTAGTGTCCAGTGCGAGTGGCCCCGGGAGCCCCAGGTTGGGGTGCGCTCTCACACCCCGATACGCCCGGGGTTCCTTTGCCTTTTCAGGCTCTGCTGGGGGTGGGGAGTCACGGTTAGAGGGAGGCCGGGTGTCGCTGGAGAAAAGTGCTGAGGTCCAGAGCGTAGTCCGACGGCTCCGCCGTCAGGTTAAGGGGCTCGAGGGCTGAGGGCGCAGGGGTGGGCGCGGGGGGCGCCGCGCTGGGGGCGTCCTCCGGGGTCAGGGGCGCCGGCGCCCCTTCTTCAGCCACCAGGACCTGGCAGAAGACGATGGCGAGCAGGAGGAAGAGGAGCCGTTTGGCAGGATTCGGATCCTCAGCAGGCAGCTGGCGCCGGACCTGAGCGGAGACGACCAAGGGGACAGGTCAGCTCGGGCCCCGACGTCCGGCCATCGCCCCGCCACTCCTCCCGGCCACCCGCTTCGTCGACACTCACCACCTGCGGGTAGAGGACCCTACGGCTGCGCTTTCGGTGCCCGCGGGAGGCGCTGGGGCGCGCGGCGGGGGCCACCGCCGGCTCCGGGAGAGGGTCGAACGTGAAGACCTCAGGACCCGAGCCCCGCCGGGGCCCCGGGCTGGTGGAGGGCACCGGGGTCGGGGCCCGCAGGACGGGCATGGCGGGCAGGGAGCTGCGGGAGTGACACATGGCAGGCGGGCCGCAGGAAGGGCGAGTGCTGCCCCGCAGCCTTCCAGGCCCGCTTTGTACGCCCGGAACTGGGCGGGCCCTCTCGGCCCCACCCCGCTGGAAATTCCACCGGTTAGGCGGAGGGTGCGGGGAGACTTGGCCGGAGCGCGCAGCGCCCCCGTGTGCGCTGAGTGTGAGCTGTGGGGGGGCGGGCGAGTTCCCGCGCTGCGGGCACGCGTCCGGGCATGTGGACGCCCACGGACCGCTGCAGGAGATGGTGCGGCCGCAGCCCATCTCTGCGGAGGCAGCAGGACTGCGTGAGGAAGTCTGGCCATCCTGCTGGGCACTGACCCAGCGAAGTCAAGGAGCCACAGCCACACAGGTATATTCACGCCCTTGTGGAGACACATAGAAAACACCCCAAGAGGGAAGTCGTTACAGAACCGGCCAAGCACAGGAAGAAAAACGAACTCATTAGCACACACAGACCCGCCCTGCGGCCTGAGCACACATAGTACTGTAGGGTTGGAAGATTTTTTTCTTCTTTCCTTCTAGGTTCTCCGGCTGATCTAACAATTAAATTGAGGTAAGACATTAATGGGAGAAAAACAAATTCAATTACATACTTATGGGAGCCCGTGAAGACCTGAGACTCACAGGCAGTCAGGCAGCCGAGGCTGTGCCGTCCTAAGGAGCGGGAGGGGGTTCAGGGAGCAGGGCGATGCAGGGAGGTGAGAAGAGCAGACGCTTGGTAGTCAGGTGTTCCCCGAGCCAAGCTGGCAGGTCTTTCGGACAGAAAGGTCCTCTCTGGGACTAGCCCTCTGCCTGGCACAGGCCCCTAATAAACTCCTCTGGGCAGTTAAGGGAGAGCTCAGAAGCTTTTCCACTTGGGCGGCTGCTCTGCCCCTTCAACATGCACATCGCACACACGCCACACAGAGCAAAGGTGCAGACTACACCAGAGGACCAGCACTTACTTACTTGGATGTTCACACAAAGCTGGGGCAGAGAATCACCAAATACACGGATGGGTGGTTCCTAGTCTCCCAGATTTGTCCCTTGTGTGGATTAAATAACAAATTTCATGTGAAGAACATTTTAAACTGTGAGGCATTATGCAAATATGGTGATGGTAATAACTCAGGACAGATCGACAGGTGTCATAACCGCCTTAGGGACAGCTGCTTACAGACACAGAACATAATATCTTCTGGGCACTCGTGGGTGCCAGGCACCTTGTTGAAGGTACTGTCGAGAGTATGGAGTCTGGTTTCAGTGCACATCTGCTGAGTGAGGCAAGCCAGGCACAGCGGGCACCTCAGGAGTGGGCCTGCTCAGAACTCCTTGAGGGTCCTAAGAAGAGGGAAGACAGTGTAAGGGGGACCCAAAAACAGCTAGTGTTCACTAATCAATCAGGTGAGGCTTCCTGGAAGAGTGGCATGTGAGATGACCTTGAACAGTGGGTGGGATACAGAGTCAGATGTGGAAGATGACTGTAAGAAAGAAGGTAGTCAGCCTTGAGCTGGAAAAGTACAGGATGTGTTTGGGGAACCACAAAGAAAACAATCCTGGAGTAAGTTCCCCAAAAAGGAGTAATGGGAAGTCATGAGGGCTGGGAAGGAGTTGGGCAGAGTGGGGACAGCTTAGCTGCCAGGCCAGGAATCTGGTGTGACCAGACTGGAGCTTGTGGGGCAAAGGGTGATATAACAGGAGGACAATTCAAGACGGGAGCTGAGCGGGGCAAGGAGCAGGCCCCGGGTGAGGAGAGTGAGGCAGGGGCCGGAGGCTGTAGAAGAGGCACAGAGAGCAGGTAACAAGGGTTTGAAAAGGGCCATGGCAGAGGGACCAAGAGGAGGGGTGGCTCTAAGAGACATTCTTAGCAGGAAATCACCAGAATTTAACAGTAAGGTGGGTCTCATTAGTGTCGGAGCATGGAGAGTGGGGGTGCCGACAGCAGAGAATGAAGGGAGCAAAGCTAACTCCAAAGATTTGAAACATATTGGGCTCAGATCTTTACAGTAGATCACAGGATGCCTGGTGCACACGGTGAACACACGCCTGGCCTTTCCCATTAGAGACTGTGTCACGTGTCTTTGTGTTGGCCACAGAGCCCACCACCCCAGTGCCTTGCACATAGCAGTTGCTCAGTAATCTTAATAAATGAAAGGTGAAAATGCAGAACTGCAAATGTGCACACTGGCTGGGCCACCCCAAGCTTTTCAGACATGGATACCTTCCTTCAAGCTCCACGTACAAAACTGACAGTGTCTTAAGAAAAGCTGGGACAATCTGTTAACAGACATCAAACTAGGAACAACTAAGGGTATTTCTTAAGCAAGCTTGTGTGGGGCTGCAAAGAAGGGGACAGCCCCATGAGTGGGCTAGAAATCGATACATTACTGCTGTGTACTCAATTGCTTCCTGGGGCTATATGTGACATGATTTTATACCCACTACTCCTGTGTAAACATATGGGACCCCTTCAGCATTACACACTTCTTCTTGACAGGCATAAAACACACCTCCATAAAGACACATCCTTTCACTCCTGCCTTTCATACCTGCCAACATCCCCAAGCGAAGAGCCTGCTCACCTACCTATACCCTTATTCCAAGCAACCTGCCCGCTACCCAACACCCAACATAAATGCAGGACTACTGACATGTGTAAAGCCCACGTGCTCACAGACATAAGTTGGGGGTGGCAGGTCAGGAGTGCACTTATTTGTGATGGAAAGTTTCTCCAGGCCACTGGGCAGGGGAGGGGAATGGAGGGAGGATGTCAGGCTGTTCTCTGGCCACTACCTCCCACATCTGGAGTCAGGACCTCCAGCTGGGCCTAGTTATTCTCACTGTCCTCTGGAACAAACAGACCTTTCTTTGTGGCAAGACCAGAATGGGACAAAGAGAAGAAGCGGCGAATGAAGAGCTCACCATTCCCTCTTAAGCCATGTCGTCCCCATTCCTGCTACCCTTAGAGACCTCGCCACACAGGAAGCTAGGGAAAGGTGGAGAGTGAATCATTAAGCCGATGGGAGAGGGGTCCGAGGTGAGGGCTGAGAGCTGAGGGCCAAGTTAAGGCCGGAAAGGGCCAGGGGCCAAGACCAGCAGCTGGACCGGTTCTCGCTGCCCTAATCCTAGGAAAGCAGGCCCTTGGGCCTTTCCATGGCAAGCTGTCCTCAATTCCTCCCCAGGGTCACCATGTGCCGGAGCCTGCCGGCAGTCGAGCAGTAACCTGATTGAGGGGGTGAGGATTGGAAAAGAAAGACAAGAGACAGGATGGGATCGGGAGGGCTTCAGTACGTGACTGAGCCCCGAGTTTATTTTTCAGCTTGTACTTATAGCACACTTAATGCGGAAGCACATAAACTTAGTGATCCTTGCCCAGTTTCTGCTCTCCGTCCAGTTTCTTGTTCTTACATGCCCATTCTTGTCTTGTACATACATCATTGGTAGCTG